TCTGTTGCTTGTGAAGCTCGCACACAAGAATTTCACTCACATGTGCTGTACCAATGTACCTGCACATGTGATGTGACAATAAAAGTGATTTGATTTGATGTTAAGCAGAGAAATCCAGAAGGACGAATCTTGGTGAATTTTGCAAAGAAAAAAGAAGAAGATTGAAATAGCTGTGGTAGACATGTAGGCCTACCTCAAGAAGAGGGAGGGACAGGGTAAGGGTGGAGTAAGGTGCAGTCTTAAAGAGATAGGACACTGTAAGTTGGTATCAGGAAAGTTTGTAGCCAAGCAGCATTGTTTGTATATGTGTTTTTCTTGCTGCTGTTACAACCAAGGTTACGTCCACACGTACCCGGGTATTTTTGAAAACGGAGATTTTCCGTTTTCAAAAATACCCGGGTACGTGTGGACGTAGCCCAAATTTCCCCTTGTGGGACAATTAAAGAATTATTCTATTCTATTCAACCCTGGCCCTTCGATACAAGCAGCACACTTGTTGCTTTATGTTCATGTTTAAGTTAGGTCACTCAGAGAACTTTGACCTGTGACTAAGCAAAGACAAGGTGGAGATGAGTTACCTTTCACTGACGGAGTTGCTGTCATCTTTCGGAAATGCGCGAATTCCTTACTGTAAAAGAACATGTATGTTTACAGATGTACATTTTAACGTCGCTACATCAGCTCGCTTGACCTTAGGTTAGACTTAGCTTGTACCAACAAATGTCCCATATTTAAACTGTTGTGAATGAATTGTTGGCCTATAATCCGCCAAACACATCTCAGACTTATTTCTCATGAATGATATTAAGTCACTTTGAGCCAGAAACAACATTTCTGTCACAGTGTAGAAGCTGCTGTCAGGTTTTGCCAAAGTCACTTGTACACGTCCATTACCCAGATAAGATATTAAAAATGTTTTCTTCACCAGAGATCTAGCCAAAGCATATTGATTGTCTGAAGATATGTACAGTGATTAAAAATGTAGCACAGCCGATGTACAGTGCCATACAAAACGGTTCATTTCAGAAATCCTGTCGATTAATCAATATAAACACAGATACTCGACATAAGAGATACAGAAACATCGGCCGGCGGGACTGACCTGAGCCTAATGGGGTGCCATGGCAGGTTTCCCTTGTTGCCGATTCCCCGGTCAGGGCACACGGCCACAATGGCGTTCAAAACGCGGGCCATCGTTACCGTGGACTGACACTGTACACTCCCGCCACAGAAACGCCGGAAATGACGACGATTGCTTCTCTTTTTTTTCTCCAACTTTATTTCAACAGAAACCTTTTTTAACAACAGCAAGCATAATACATGGAGAACACAATGTATTATTGTAGTGCAAAATTATAATACAGTGGAACAGTATGTATAATTAAACAAATAGGATAGAAATACAGGTTAAAAGGGGGACAAAAGCGAGAGATGCTTTGACGCCGAATAATTAAAGAGATTAAAAATATTACAAATATTTTTGGTTTTTAAAGCTTTCTTGTTGTGAGAGGAACAAATTGTAGTCAGAGATCTAATTCTTTCCTGAAAGGGGAGAAGTACGGTTTCTTGTTTGAGAACTTACATTTAATGGTGAAATACATCTTTCACTTTATTATTAGAATAGAATAGAATTTTATTTCGAACATGCAAATATAACTGAAATAACAAGAGAAAAAAGAAAAACAAAACAAAACTTAAAAATCATCAAATTTTCATGTATATATTTATGTCTATAGAATGTGTGTGCTCGAAAAGGAGTAGTTTACACTTCTACGGTTCCTACCCCCTTTACCCCCTTACTGATCAAATAAGTGATGATGATGATGATGATGATATATAGCGACAACGGTGTAAACTCTGTGCAGGAAAATACTATTGTACGCAAATTCAGCTTTTCTTCACTTCCAGTTAAAGTGAGTTTAAAGCGCACCGCCATATACTGCCCGCTTGTGGTCATCTTACAAACAATGTAGCATGCAGAAGCTGCATGTTGCATATAATGATGCAAGGAGAATCCTTCTTAGGATACCTAGAGGGTCTAGTGCCAGTCAGATGTTTGTAGCTGTGGGTATTTGGACTTTTACGGAATTTAAAGTTCACTTTTAGAGAACGACTGGACGGCTCTAGAAACAGTATAATTTTAGCACACACAGATCCGACAGTGAGCCATCCTTTTAACTATGGAAATAAAGTCTGTCAATAAAGACTGAATTGAAATTGAATTGAATTTATGGATGCGGTATTTGGCGAGGAGTAAAATCAGATTCATGAGGTAAAAAGCTCACTAGAGTCAGTATAACCAAATAAAAACGTGTTTTGATTACAATAAAAACATGGTACAAATTTTGATAAGATGCTGTAAGAGATGCAACTAGTGATATCTCTCCATAAAATCTGAGTAAAGGTACACAGCCAAAAGTAAATGCGAGCAGGTCTCTGGAACAATCTTACAAAAGGCGCAAAATGTGTCTATGTCACTTATATTTTTAAAGGAAGCTTTTAACAGGGTAAAATCTATGAATTAGCTTAAATTAAATCTCATTTTGTTAGTAAGGAGGATTTTTTGTTACAAAGACCAAACCTTTTTCCAGTCAGTGTCCTGACAAAATGAGTCCAGAATTAAATGGATGGAGGAACAGAGATAAGTGACTCTTGAAAAAGAGACCCAATCTTGGCATTCACACCTTTACAAGAGGAGAATCAAATCTGACCTAAAGGAGACTCTTTCAGAACAGGGCAAGACATGAACAGATGTGGGGAGACAGTGGTATTTCTAAACAACATGGATAGCTGAGATGGTATGGCATCAAAAACAATACAGAACTCCTTTGGGTGTATACCCAAAGGAGTTCTGTATTGTTTTTGAGTAATTATATAATAATCCGGCATTACTGAATACTTGACTTACAAGAAGAATCCCTTTATTAAACTCGTTTTCAAAGAATAGTGACTTATTCTTGTATAGAATGTTACAGTTGTTCCAAATATAATATCTTTGTGGAGAAAAGTTATGTTTATAGATCAAAGACCATGCCAAAAGAGCCTGTTGATGAAGGTTTGAGAGTTTAATTGGGATTTTCTGAATACTGTTAGTTGCAGAGGATAATAAAGTCCAAGCCACCCGAACATGAAAAGATATTGACGAGAGATGAAAGATGACTGCTTCTTCTTTCGGAGAGCTATACGGCTTGTCTTCTTTGTGAAATAACACAATTCTGCTGAAAACATTTGCATTTTTTTTTATTTAGTCAAAAAGCTGCCATCTTAAAGTACATCAAAGTCAGTCCTAAGTATGAGGGTAAAATGTAAAACGCTTACAACTGACGAGTGGGTGGAACCCCCAAAATCCAAACTCAACGAAACCTGCTGAAATTTAGCTTGAAGTACAAGTGTTCAGCTATCATGCTACAGCCAGAGCTAGAGTACAAAAACATATTTTTACAATGCTTACCAAAGATATCTGACATATTTGATGACAGAAATCTTTATGTATGTGGTAATCTGATGACAGAAACCAATGCAGCAGCTCAGCAGCTGTATTTACAGGAGTCTCTCCACCTCAAATTATGGACTAAAAGCATCTCATACTCCCAGTCATCAGATCTCAAGTGTTCAGTGAGAAGCTCCATAAGAATCATCATTGTTGGAAAAAAAAAATCACGTGACCTCATTTTCATCCTATCAGATGTGAATAAAGCTTGTGTAGAGATTCAAAGAACAGTCTGACAGTAAATACAGCAGGGACAGCAGTGCAGAGACTCGTGGATGAAGAGATCACACTCCACACAGAACACACTGTGACACGATGGACAGCTGAACATCTGGAATGTCACAGGTATGCAGACAGAGCAAATAAATAAAAAGCAGATAAAGACATTATACAATTTTTACAAGAAAAAATCTAAATGAATCCAGCAGGGCACAAAGTGTCACAGCAACTGAAGGCGGGCCCCTGATTTCACCAAAACTTAAGTTCTGCCAGCCAGCACATGTGGGTGGAAATGTGTGCTGCTTAAATCTGTAAATAATCAAGTAGTCTGCTGACTTATCCTATCTGCATTCATTCTCAGATGGGTATAAATTTATATTTACATATACTTTAAATAATTATTTAATCTTTAAAAAAAACAACTAAATATACATATAATAACAACAATAATATTGATACAAAAGGGGCAGCATGGAGACACTTATATAATTATTATTATGAACTGAAGATGATGGCACAAGTCACAGTTTTGACAATTTCACAATGAGGTACATTAAAATTGTTCAAATTTTCAAAGATGCAGTTTTGTGCAGGTTGGTGAAACTATCCATCTTCACTCCTGAGAAAGTCTGTCTCTCGCCTTATTAGCAAATACCTTTTGTGAAACAATTTGCCTCTGTTTAAACATCTTGTGTTTTTCTGAATGAAATGTGTTTGTGATTGTTGCAATGTTTTTTTTCTTTTTTTAAATCTGACAGCATCCCAGCTTTGTGGAATTGGGTTTATATCCTCCTGAGAACCGAGGAAAAAAGGAATCTTCCTGTTGAACTTGTTGTGTCATTTCCTTGCTCTTTGGAGTGAAAAGATTCCACCCAAACACATGAGATATCTATGGAAAGCCCAGCATATCCTCTATTTAGCACATCAGGACTTAGTAGGGTAGCTCAAATAAGTCAAAAGATATAGACTAAAAACACTCTACATGTCCTCCTGGTTCTTAGGAGGACATGTAGAGTGGTCATGGTTTGGGATGCAGACAAATTTCAGCAAGAGTGAGATGATGGCTATCCACTGTATAAGGAAAAAGCAAAAATCTTGCAGATTCTGCATATTCATATGCAGATGCCTGCTGTATGAGATTGTAGGTGTGTTAATATATAAAACTGGTGAACCTCATGGCAAATTTAAAAGAACGGGTAACTATACTGGCTTGTCACAGACCACATTTCCCCCAGTCTTCGACAGAGATGCTGATCTTTAGAGCAAGCCAAACAGAAGCTGGATGTTATATTTCTGAAACATTTTGTGAATTAAAGCCAATATTAAAGTGTGTCTTGTTATTCGCATACCCGTGAGCAGAAATCACTTGTAAACCTCGACAAATGACTCAATTTACACAGCAAAGACTGAGGGCAGTTGACTGTGACAGGCAAACTGGCTTTTATGAGTAAAACTGGAAGTTCATTTCACAACAAGAATAACACTGTGCTGTGCTGCACAGATATTCAGCCACTTACACTTTTATCCTTCAGCTCTGCTTGACATGCCTGACAGAACCTGAAACCAAACCACAACAGTATAAGACATGCAGTGAAACACCATCTGCATCTCAATGTGAGAGTAGATCACAGCTACCTGTCTCCTTGGAGGTTCTCCACTGGACTCTCTACAAAAGCTTGGAGGGGGAAGAGGTGGTGAAAGGATCTGGCGAGATGGGGGGCCGACACCAGAGTCAAACCTTGGAGATAAAACAGCACATAGGCCAGTCAACACACAACAACAAAAAGAAAAAAATTTTCCCCATCTAATCCTTTAACTGAACAGTACATACCACACACTTTACACTCCACGGGAAGCTCAGTGTAAGTGGCGTGGCACTGTGGACACAAATATCCTCCCAGAGACAGACCTGGACCACTGCTGCTGTCCAGATGACTGGACAAACACAAAGACGAGCGTCAAAACAAATATTCATTTTAACCTGCAGTCTTAGCCATGCGGTTAATCGCACTGCTTTCTACTCACGACATGCTGAACGACGGCTTGGCATCCTGGTCAGTCACAGAGGCAATGGTATGCTGAGGAAAACCTGAGCAAACACAAGGTTCACATCAAGTGGATTCAGTGAGAATGACTTACTTTTTTTCTCCAAATCTTAGTTCTGTTTCAAAGGAATCATTTCAAAACGTCACCACAAGAAATAGCTATCAGAAACTCTGAAGGATTTCAACACTAATCTAACCATGAACAGCAACTTTCACAAGAGCTTAGAAGAAGCATTATACAGACACACAAAGCCACAAAAGCATACAAACACAATTCTAAAGACCTAAAGGTTCATCAGCACATAATAAGATCAACAGTTTACAGATGACACAGAAATAACCACTGCTTTATTTTGAAGGAAAACATCTCCAAAGTCTAGCAGCTGAAAGTGAGTCAGATTTGCTGATGCAGTGAGGGAATAAAACAAAGCAGAACACTACTTAAGAATCACCAGAGCAGCAGCAAGCACTGAAGCTTAACAGAACAAAGCTTCTGTGTTTAGACCTGCTGACAGCATGTACCCACACTGTACCCTGGACAGTTGGACAAGTGCGTTACTTTTACTGGTGGCCTCAATATTGGACGCAACGTACACAAAGAGCTTAAGTATATGAGAAGGTGAACGTGACACTTCCAGTGATTACTTGGGGTTCACCAGTGTCACTGGTTTAGTTCCATTGTTTTTATTAATAACTTTGATCCACAAGGAAATCCTACTAATTCCAAAGGCTTTTGCTGCAGCTGTAGGTAAGTGACGGGAGAGGAGCTGACTGAATACCAAGAGATGGAGACAGCGTCAGCATACTCACCCATGCGGATTAAAGAGCATTCAGAGGAGGAGCTGGCAGGAGGTGGTTTGATGTGAAGCATCAACAGCTCTTTGAAGTGGCTCTCATCCAGGATCACGTGGTACGAGCCACCTGTCTCTCTCGTCAGCACTGTACATACCCGGACCTCTGCTGACAGACCGATGACAGACACCCGCACCTTCAGAGACTTCAGGGTCTGACGGAGGAGATGGAGCACAGAGCTGTCTCTGGACCTGAGCTAACTTGTCTATAAGATAATCAATGGACTGATGACTCTCAGCACAAAAAACAGAGTGGCTTCACCTTGATCAGCTCATAGATGTTGGCTGGGTCACATGTAGTGAGACTACTGAGGATGATCAGGATCTCCCGGCTCGTATGTCCAGGCATGTGCCTTCACACAGAGGCAGACAGCAGCTCAATGACGTCTCACTACAGAAGCTAATCAAAAACAATGACTCTGCTAAACCTACTTGAGGGTTTGTATGGCCAGGTTGAGGGAATTGTAGAGGGACGGCTCTCCTACGCAAACAGTGTCCACAGCTTTTTTCAGAGCAGTGATGTGCTTCTTTGGATTTCCTGGTGATGCCGTGAAACAACACACACAGTACATTTGCATTACAGAACAGATGACGTGAGGTTTAAAAAAAAAAAAAAAAAACCCCAAAAAAACTAACACTGGCACTGGCACACTGATGCTAATTTAAAAAAAAGAAAAAAAGAAAAAGGTTTAGTGGCAAACCAAAAAACATTGGTTCAAAGAGACCAAATGACAGATACCTGCCAGATCAGTCAGCTTCTCAGCCCTTTTGTTCTTTGTGGTGATAATACCAACCTACAAAACAAAACACAGCACAACTCACTTACTAGCAGTCACTCATTAGTCTCTGGAAGTTTGCTGAACATCCGCACACAGCCGAGTGTAACCCAGCAGCAACCTGGGGCCAATGCTGAAACTCTGGCACCTCCAGTGGACCCGTAAGACTGGCTTCGAAAGCATGTCAGGACACTCATATGTTAAACCCGACATATACAGATTAGAAAGCATGTTTACAACCCGGTCAACCTTCACGGACAGGACGTCTCTCCATTAGAACTGCATGTTGGGCCATTTCCACCAGGGTCTGTCACCCTCACTAATCTAAGACACCCAACTGTCTTTGTGCATTTTTATAAAATTATCAGGTGTTGCTTTGTGGTAGCATGAAGTCTGTGCTCCAGGTTGGCAAATCAAACTTTTTTTTGTCTGTCACAATCAGCAGGCGTATAAGCTGAGCAGCCCAGCCTTAGAGGGAGCATGAGGAATTCAGTAGTTTAGGAGGAGCTAAGAGTCAAAAGGAAACTAACTGGATTGGGCATCTGAGTAAAAGTATGAAACCAGTGTGTGTTTGTATACAGTGACAAGGGGCAGAATATGACTTATGGCATACCTGGCTGATGGGATTTTGGTCAAAATATTCATCAACAAATACTTCCATGAGCTGAGGAGGAAAGAAGAGATGAGATGAGATGGTTAGCAGACAATCACACTGTGTAGCTGCTGGTGTCCAGGGAGACAGCTGTGCTTTACCTTGAGAGTAGAGGTGAGGCGGTTTGGTTTTAAGTCCTGGTCTTCCATACTACGCGAACAGTCAATCACCACATACACGTGACGCATCTGAAGTACAAAACAACCTTTAACATCTTGACTTTCTTTTTCAATTTTTTCAAAAAAATAGATGTTATGCACAATATTAACCAGCGGGTATGTTGGGCTACAAATATAGAATGTGCAGCAGATCCTATATTGACATGAGAGCTCAGAGGCCTTGGCTTTGTGCTACGACAGGAAACTTCTCATTCATTTCAGGTTTATTTATAGAGCACCAAATCACATAAACAGTCACTTCAAGGTTTTAAACTGAAAAGTAAAGATCCAGCAGCATTCTGCAAACACATGATATTATACAGATATACACACAACTACTCACATATTTAGAATAATTAGTTAACTGTGTGTAAATTTTCTATGCTTTATTTCAGAGTGCTGAAACAGCACTCCACTTCAATAACGAACCACAAAAAGTGTTAAGCATGTGGGAAACACAAGGCTCTGCACAACTCACCATTCCAAGCCTCACTTGCCCATGGCTCTCTATCACCCTGTGCAGCAAAGAAAGCATGAGATGAGGAGCAGGAGAAGACACAAGCATTTTCATCATGGGATGGATAGACAGACAGACAGACACAAACACGCACACCTTTTCCGTTTGGACTGGTACAGAATCTCTTCCACTGTGGCTTTGAGTGAGCCTGACTCGTCCTCCTTCAGCACCTCCCTGAGGATGAAACATATTCCACAATAATCCAGGGAATGACGACACACAGCTCAAGCTGCAGATGCACATGGCTGAGCAGTCTCACCATGTCCTCTCATAGCCCCCTTCCCAGCGCTTGGCTCTCTCTGGTTCTTCATCCATTGTGTTTGGCGGCCAGAAATTCAACAGACGCTCCCAGCCAAATCACTGCCAAACCAAGTACACACATTCGGTACTACAGACTCACAATAACTCATGACACGCTGCATTAAGGATAGGACGTATGGCCACATTTCGGTTATTGCTCATTCTGCATTTAACCCATGTGCCTTGCTTAGAAGCACAGTGGCAGTTATCGATTACTGTAGATTACCTCGGTGACTAGCTACCTTCTAGGAAGTTGGCGGTAAATAAAAACATGTTAATAAAAACCCCATCATCAGACCAAACAGCACCTTTACGTACGGGTCGTTATCAGCGCCACAGACCTGCCTGTAAGTAGAGTCAAACTAACAGATGTTGTAAGTGCAGTCCGCTGAGCCACAGCTCTAGCTAGCTAGTCCGCCTGCTAGCTAGCTAGCTAAAAGTCCTGATAAATCAGTGATTTTCATGCAGTTCAAACAACAAGCATGATGCGGGACTCACATCATGCAGTTACACAGGACTATGATTTTAAACACCTTATAACTTACTATACTAACTAAACAATAAATATAAACACTCACCAACTCTGACTATACTGTAACGCAAGCTGTGCAACAAGACTTTTCCTCCGGATGGAAACGGGCAAAGAAGAGAAAGGATCCGGTGACATACTATTTATTATTATCGTAGCATGATGGCCGCGGCATTATAATGAAAGGTTACACAGTGTCATATACAAACAAATAGCTTTGTGATTTTACATCATACTGTACATATCAGGGAGAGTGCAAAAATCAGTGGGAAAACTAAAAAAATGACAATGCTTAATGGTAGTTTAATGCAGTACATGGCAATTGTTAGAAGTTATTAGCGCCCAGATCCATGAACATTTATGCTATGTGCTAATAACATAAGCTCTGCGCCCATACTAAACAGTTTTCCTTTATATCCATCATGCCAAGGTAATAAAGTATAGAAAAGTTTACTTCAGAACAATCGAAAGAATAAAAATAAACATTTACAAGAGAACATGCACAGCTACTCCGATACCGAACAAATTTATAAGTCTCATCTTAACTGTGCCCACAATTATGCAAAACATTTCGGATCACAAGAGAAAAACAATAAAGTCTATAAACCTTACTTGTTTTTCAAAATTTTACTTGTGGAACTGAGAGGTAAAAAAGAAAGAAAAAAATCCACATTTTATTTATCCTTTTGCTGTAGAAAAACTCTTACTTGATTGGCTTATAAAAATGCATTTCATAGGCAAGAGCATCACTATAATAATAATCATACAGGAGTTCATCATAAACTGGACAGTTCAGTTCATAGACAGGGTCTTGGGTTGAAGGTTCAGGGTCGACGGTCATATTCACTGATCTTTCTCTTGATGTGCGACAGCTTGGATCTCAGATATTTACACCTCTTCTTCTTAATCTGGTATTCTGATGACTGTGGACAATACATAAGAAAGGTATTGTTGTTTGAATTCTTTACACACAAATTTCACTGCTGAGAATGTGAATAATAACCTTACCTTCTTGAAGTCCTTCAGCCTGTTATAGTCCCTCAAGGCATCCTGAGATCAGATTACATATATTAGTTGGCTAAAGAAGTAAGCATCATCCCAAATTCTCACACAGAACTTTCTTTTATACTAAAGTTTTCAAACCATTTCTAACACTTTATTACTAGATTTATTATTTGATTTTGAGTAGAATTATTTGAATATAAGCAAACACATAATGGATTGCATTTTTATAGTGCTTTTCTAGGCACCCAAAGTGCTTTACAATTCCACTATTCATTCACTCTCACATTCACACACTGGTGGAGGCAAGTTACAGTCTTAGCCACAGCTGCCCTGGGGCAGACTGACAGAAGCGAGGCTGCCATATCGCCCCTCTAGCCAACACCAGTAGGCGGTAGGGTAAAGTGTCCTGCCCAAGGACACAACAACCAGGACAGAGAGAACAGGGGGATCGAACCGGCAACCTTCCAGTAGATGAGCTTCCCAATTCCCCTGAGCCATGGTCGCCCCAACATATCAGTCTTATAAAGTTTCCTATAAAACCAGCCACCTCGCATCTGCTGTTAAACTGTTGACAGTTAGAAGCTAAATTGTTGCCTTGCACTGCAACTTGTACATTCACAATGAAATTGAATACAATGTAAATTTCATCAGATTTAAAATTGTAGGATTAATTGATGGCAAGACTTTTTTGAACAGTCTTTAGGAATGGAGTCTAAAACAAACCCCCCACCCCCACCCACCCCCCATTTTGCTGGTTCAGAAAGTAAGGACTGAAGTTAACTCAGAAGGATAAATTCCAGTACTGAATTTTATGCCTGTGGCACATATTCCAGAATATGTGAATATTCTTTTGGTTAAAACTTTATTTGTGAAAAAAATTCATGAAGTCATTACTAGTTAAGGTTAAAGAACTAGTCAGTTCAACAGAGATCTGACTTTTTGTCAGCCTGCCTAAAATAGGGGTTGTTATTTTCTTTAATCTGAGATGAATAGTAAGATATTCTAGCTTTACAGGGTTGTTTTTGTTTTGTTTTTTGTTAAATAGAGCAGCAAACTCTTTTTCCAAGCTAAATGAAGATCTTCTAAATAAGTGACATGCCATTTCCTCTGTAACTTATGGGTTATCTGCTTTAAGGTGGACATGTGTGAGTCATTAAAAGGAGTCACCACTTCTGATTTGAGGCTTTTTTTTCCAGAGGAGCTACAGTATCCAGAGTCATACACAGTTAGAATGTAACACTATTAACAAGATAATCAACCTCTGTGGGAGTAGAGTTCAGGTAGCTCCTCTGCATTGTGCTGGCACATATCATTGAAGAAGATAACAGTGGAGGAATTATATCCTTTCACTAAGTTACAGCACTTTCAGAAAGACATCTACTGTGTAATATTGTAAATCTAAATATTATAAAGAAATGAACAGAAAAAAAAACAGGTTTTTCTGGGAAGAATGTTATATGTCATATCGTTAGCTTCATAGCATAAGTGCCTAAGTCATTTTTTGGTCAAATTGAGATTTTTGCCTAACTTTACTCCCCTACCACTGCTGCATCATCCTGTCCGTCTGCCTATGTCATCACAAAAAAATGACTTAGGCACTTATGCTATGAAGCTAACGATATGTAAGAAGAAGATCCAGAGTGTGCTTCAAGTGGTGGGTGGGCTCGTTTACATTTTGAGTGAAGCCAGTTGGCTCTAATTACAGTTTAAATGCTATGTCATTTTTAGTATCTACATGGATGTTTAAAATAAATAACACACTGTAAATATTTTATCTGAACTGAAATCTAAATCACAGTCATTGTTAACTCATTTTGAGTGTTTGGTTTTTGTTAGATACTCATTAGGTCGCTTAACTGTTATTGTCTGAAAATTGTTTGTGTAGTTTTCATTGGTTTCTGTTTTAGATTTAGTTTTTTAAAATTATTATAATATGGAGAATACTTTTTAAAAAGTGCAGTTTTAATTTTTATTTCAGTTACTTGAAATGCCTTGTGCTGGTTAAGTATAAAAACCTAGGGTACGGCATACATTTATGAAATGTAAGACTGCGTTCTTCCATTTGCGCAACATCTCTAAAATTAGAAATATCCTGTCTCAGAGTGACGCTGAAAAACTAGTTCATGCATTTATTACTTCCAGGCTGGACTACTGTAATTCATTATTATCAGAATGTCCTAAAAACTCCCCGAAAAGCCTTCAGCTAATCCAAAATGCTGCAGCAAGAGTGCTGACAGGGACTAGAAAGAGAGAGCATATTTCTCCTGTTTTGGCTTCCCTTCATTGGCTTCCTGTTAAATCCAGAAATGATACATTAAAATAACAGCCTGCATTCCATCGAAATCACTAATGAGATGTTATGGCACAGCAAGAACATTACTAACCAAAATAACAACGTAAATAACGTTTCAACGTCCCTCTTCTCAGCTGTTTCTCTTTCCCTCTTTCTTTCTCCCCTTCTTTCCCCCAGTCAAGTCTGTCCCGTATTCAGTAAGTGAAAATAAAATAAACAATAAAAGGTGAATCAAATGGACCATTACGGCAAGGCTGGGATGGTCAATTTGGTAAAGTAAATCCGTTGGGCATCTTTCTTTGCCTTTAGACAATAATTCTGATGGCAAAAGAGCCAAACGGGACAGGCAAAAAAAAAAGAAAAAAGGGTGGACCAGCCACCTTCCCTTCAAAGAACCAGACAGATGCTGCCGCCCTTACCATGAACTCTGGACTGCCATCAGAATGTCGGTCCAGTTCTCGGTCCAGGTCGGCCAGGTCCTGGTTTATGCCGTCCAGCTCAGCCTGTAGGTTCTTGTATTCTTGGTGATCCCTATCAAACTCCTGTTTGTAGGCCAGACGCTCTTGCTCATCCAAAATGGGGGGAAACAAACTATATGCAAGAAGACAATTCAGTACATAACCAGTAAAACAAAAGAGATACGAATCAGTCAAGGTCAAAGATAAAGTTCTTTATTACCAGCTTTGATCTAGAAATAGCAGATTAATTGCAATCAGCTAATAACTGGCAATGGAATCACATGCACTCACACACTGAAATCTTCTTCCTCTAGGTCATCCCCAGATTCCACACCAGTGTCGTAGTCCCTCAGCCTGGGCTGCAGGCCTCCCACATAGCTGCTGATGTCAGAGTCTCTGCAAACAGGATTTACTGATTCATCCATTTTTGCAAAAGCCTTATAAGTATCTGCCATTAAAACAAACACACTTGAACCCTTGTAGCATGTTTACAGAGCCAACTGGTCTCAAATATGGTTAATATGGTTCCCCATTATCCTTCAGCACCTTAAACTTCAAAACTTATGGATGAGCTGACCCATCAGAGATGGATCACTGTGATCGAGTGCTACTACAGAGTTATGTGCACCTCTTCTCTTTGCACCAGACCTCATTTCAAATTTGGTACAGGGACACTGATCGTTTGTTGACCTGATTTGAACAGAAGTATCCCCGTCTGACCAGCTGGAGTTCCCTCTACACAGCACAGGAAACAGTTTCTGCAGCAGCTGAGATGTTCATCTTCGCAAAGTTGATAATGATGCACTTTTACACAACCATGAAGAACAGTTTCTTATTGACCCACACTCACAAATAAATGTATCTTCATTGTACATTTCTATTTGAAATGTTATTATTTTCTGTGTTTCAGTGAGTGTTTTTCACTACAGCACCAACAATACAATATAATACCAACAATCCCTTTTCTTGGGAATTTAGCGACGTTAAAAATATAATCAAAGAGGCTTTGGTGGTGGATTGTAAGTGTCATGGTCTGTGTGGAGTTATGTTCTCCCATGTCTGTTTGGGTACTGTGTGGGGCATTTTCAATTTGTCCCACAGTCCGAACACACAGATTGACCGTAGGTGTGGGTGTGAATGTGAAAGTGAATGGTTGTCTGTCTCACTGTGTTAGCCCCATCATAGACTGGTGACTGTTCAGCGTCTACCCCTCCTCACCAGCTGGGATAGCAGGTGCCCCACCCAGAAGTCTCCAAGCTGTTTTATTTTAGATGAACTTTGGTGGTTTACAGAGGAAAATTGTGTAACTAACTCCATCAGGCCACAGTCCTGATCATGTGAGCCCCCCCCCCCCCACCGCCTCTGCACCCCACCCCAGAACATTTAGTCCTACAAAACTTCATTTACAAAAACAGACTGACAGTGATGCTGCATGTGCAAAAGGTCAGACACCCAAGGTAAGACTCTATCATGTTTTAAGTAAACAAATTATACACTGTTCAGTCATTTCAGTAATTTATTATTCAAGAATAAAAACCCAATAGAGCTGCTAGCATCACTATATCTGTAAAAAACAAACAAAACAAAACCCCAATTCCCCCAGTGCTTAATGATACCTTTTCATAACAATGAAGAACATGCTTACCCTGGTAGGTATAGAGGCTTGTTGTAGTCCAGCTGGTCTAAATAGTCTCTAGAGGCCCCAACTTTATCGTTATGGTCATTAACAAACACCTCTGGATCACCAGACACGTTGGTCACCTGAAGCAACAAACATAGTCAGCCTCAGAGTTTCTACAATGCCAGATTGAAATTAAAGGGACTTTTCCAAATGATGAGCAGTTTAAGGGTGGAAGTGGCTCTACAAATATTTTG